TCGTCGATTTCCGGGGACTCCCGAGCGCTCGACGCCCCTCGAGATACCGAGGGCTTGGAAGTCCCGAAAATCGCACCTTTGGGCGACGAGGGCTCGGAAGTCCCGAACATCTCTATTCGACGGCTCGGAAGTCCCGAACATCTCTATTCGACGGCTCGAAATTTTTCTCGAGGGGTCGCTACCTATCTGAAATCCGAGGGCTCGAAATCGATACCCCTCGAAAGCTTATATCGAGAGTCCGAAGTGCCATTTTCCGAGGGGTGGAGCCCTCGGCGAGGGCCTGTTTTCGAGTGCTCGACGCACCCCTCGAACGACTTTTTCCATCTGCATGGGCAGACGATCACATGGCCAAAATTAACATATACTTTTTATGTATCCAAATAACCTTCTAGATTCAAAACGTCAGAGGCGGCGCAATGATTCTGAAGCTATGCTCAAGGACAAAGACGCAAAGAAACAATAAGTTTGCACTAGAAGAAAAGAAAAATTTTCCAAATCTGTGAGTGTCAAGGCACCCACGGCCCCCATGGTTGCGCCGCCTCTGCAAAACGTATAGACACTTTATTAGTGATGAACACGTTAAAAACTAACACAATGCTAATTCTACTCAATATTTCGATAACCGAAGTGTGTGTCGTTAATATTTCTTTAAAGTAAAGGTGATCCGTACACTAGTTCTGCCAGACGAAACGACAGGTATTTTTCTAAATGTTTTTCTTTATTCTATTTATTCTATACACACTGAAATAGTCATTTTGCAAGTACGAACACCACAATGAAGTATCCAGATCATTTAGAAAAATGATAGACATATCACCAGCGACGCGATCTATGATACTTGTACATTTTGATACGCTTATCTTTAATAGATCCGGTTAGTGATCGACCATACCCGATCAATGGGTATGGTCGATCCGAGTCAGTGGTCTGTCTAATCCCGATGGATACATTTAATATAACTATGATAGTTAACGAGGGAACATATGTAACTGACCAATCGTTTTTTTAATGAAATCTAGTGGAGTATAGGTAAAAAATGATGCTGAATCCGAATATCAGAATGAGACGGGCCGCTAGGCCTTGTGAGGACCGAATTTCTGGAAAACCAGGTTTCCAGAGCTAGAAACTTTTTGTTCCAAAAAATTTTTCTGATCTGTCTCGATTGTAGAGCACATCGATAAACCTATAAAAAACTAGTTTCCAGAATTTTGGAATCCTTCCACAGCCCGCCAGACCGACTTTTCTTCTCTTTTCCGTACGTTGAGGTTTTTTGAGGGAGCCTTTTTCTACTCTTTCTGTGTAAAATTCTAATAGAAACAAATTGACATTAGGAAGCTTCGACTCGTTTGAAAAAGTTAAAAAATAAAACCACAAGAGTCTACTATGGCACATAAAAAATCACAACAGGAAAAATCTCGGCTGAACTTTGACTAGAGTCCAAGCCAAATAACTCTTCAACCGCCCAGGCCATCCACACCCTCTCGATGTGCAATGCTTATCAAACTAGAAAGAAAAGAGCAGAGATTATTTTGCAGATTAGTTAAGGTATGAACGTCACTTACCCCTACTTGTGGTAATGATACGACACATAAAAGTGTTCAAAATACAACTTCTTACTACAAATGGCACACATGGTAAACCAGGTTTCGTTACAGTTTTGGGGAGTACAGGTTTCGCAGGAGGACGGGAACGGGAAACACGTTTCAAGAAGGTTAGGGAACGGGGAAGGGTCTTGTGTTGTATATCCGGCGGCGAATCAGCTGTAGCGAATCAGAAGACGTCAAGGGGTTGAATGTCGTTCGTTGTGTGCTGCGGAATCATAATTCGTTTCACGTTTTTACCGAGCGACTTCAGATCACTGTAAATCTTAGTGTCGTTCTGACCAGACCACTAATCTGAGAGGAGTAGGGACTTTGGACCGATGAACGGAGCAAGGCAGTGATCTCGCCAGTAGACGACTAGGAAAGGCGTCAGTTTTCCGGAGGAGGAACATGTGATCACCACATTCAACCGCTCCCATCTTACCATGCGGTTCTCGAAGTCAAAGAAACATCGGGCCTACCAGTTCGCCATCGAGCGAGATGAGAGGTTGAATGGTGTAGCAGTGGGTACACGCATTCTTCGGAGACACAGCATCAAAGGTTTTCTTTTCACCGACGTAGCTCAACATACGAGTCGAATGAACTTCCCGCGCAATGCCGACCTGGTCAGTATTGTAAATCTCTGTCGGTTTGTACTCCGGTGAAAGAAGACGAAACGCTTGTAAGAAGTCGACTTCTGACTTTTTAATAGTGTCGAGTTTTCAATTTCACGGTGTGTTACAACGTTTGTGATTCGACGCGAGCCGATAGAGTGACAAGATTTGAAGGACACGAGCCAAAAGTTAGAGGCGACGAAGTTCTCGAGTTTCAGCTCGTGAGCCGCCTTCAGTGCCCATTTATTCTCTGAAACTCTGTTTGAAGTATTCACTTCGCATGTACAAAAACGTATTCTACAAAAATTACTAATTAACAAAAATTGGATTTCCTCATTAAACAAAACATTTTTAAGAGTTAGTCTAGAGACAAAAATATAGAAACTTTAATGGTCTACACCTTCTTCCCTGTAGAAGGTGCTAGTTTCACGGTAAAAACACGATATTTATTATTTTCTGCCTTAAACACAGCGTCTCATTGAGTTGGACTGAGCGAACGAAAATTAGGAAACTTGATTTGTCACATTTTTATCTCTAAACCTAACTTCAGAAAAGGCTTGCTTCATAGTGAAAAAGTGGGAAAGTGACATTCTTTGCTAATTTTTAAGGTGCGCGTAATGCAAAAGTTGAGAAAAGTGTTTTTTGAAACATATTACGATAGATAGAGCTCTTGAGCTGATTAAGAAAATATATTTTTTAAAGTTTCAAAAAATTGTTTTCATGTCGAAAAATCGAAAAAACTCGATACAGTGCAAACGCTCGACAATCGCTCAAATTCGTCTTTCGAGAATTTCTGTTTCGTTCATGTTTTCTAAATAAGAGGTGAAAAAGTCAGATTTCTGCCCGTAATCCCCAATTTTCTTAAACGATGCAGAAAACTGAGAATTACAGGAAGAATTCCGACTTTTCGCCTCTTATTTAGAAAACATGAATTTTCTCAACAACGACAACAAAATTGCAAAAGAAGCGAGTCGCATTTTTGAAGCGGAGGTTTCAGTTAATCTAACGATTTGCAAATGAGGGCTGTAGTCTTTGACACAAAAAACTAGATAGGTGTACCTAATTCGGAGTTTAACTCTGAACTTAATCAAATCCCGTTTTCTTATTCAGTTTTTGACGCGGGATAAGGAAAAGAATAGTTTGAAATTTATTTACTACTACGCAGCGCGAACATTCTCCAAAATTGAGTGATTTTTGAGTTTTTTCGACTTTTCGACAAAAAAACAATTTTCTGAAACTTTAAAAAATATATTTTCTTAATCAACTCAATGAACTCTATCGAACGATGTATAATAAGTTCCAAAAAAAATTTTGCAATTTTTTGCATTACGCGCACCTTACTTTCTTACTAAAAAGCAAATATTTTTCGAACTTGAGTTTAGAGCGAAAAATGTGGCTGAATGACATTGTTTAATGTTTATTTTCAACCTGTATAGTGGAGTTTAGAGGGGAAAATTTAGGTTTTTTAGTTTACTATACTTGTATCTCGAGACCCGACTGCCCAAAACACCTTACTCAATGGAATAATCCAATTTTATTTTATTAATTAAAATTTTTAATTTTTGATAGCTCGATCACCTTTCAGATTGATCGGGCTAACGTACCTGATCTGAACCAATAGGCCTACCAATTACCCTATTTATAGAGAAGTTGATAGTGATCCACCTAAAAAGATATCTAACAGCCTATTAATTCGCATATGATCAGCTGATGGCACTAGATCGGTCTGATCACTATCATTTTTTTCGTGTTCGGGTACGTGTAAGAGAATAATTACGTTTTGTTATTGTTTTTTTTCCGGTAGTTGAAAAATTAAGATAACATTTCTTTGAGCAAGAGCGACAATCAAATTTACTCATTTATTACAATCATGCAAGAACTACCAACATTAGCAGCACCAACTGAGCTTCTTACAACCATCGGCACTGAATCATCACAATGTATACGTTCTTTTAATCGTGAAAGAGTGAATCTTGAATCACATCAATTAGTATGGTTAAACGATAATGTAAACAAAAGTAATGACAATGATACAACACTTAAAGAAGATTTAAGAAAAATTGTCGATTATACAAAATTATTTGATAATGTTGAACAATGTTTGCAATACATTGAGGAAACAAAAGACAGTATAACATTTTTAGTTTGTTCTGAACAATTTGGTGAGATTCTCGTTCCACAAATTTATCATCTTCAAAATATTTGGTCAATTTATATTTACTGTCATAACAAAGAATATCATCAAAACTGGACTACTAATTATTCAAAAGTAAGTTGATTTATTTCAATATTTTTTGCTTATTAAGGGCCGCTCCTCAGAAATTATGTACGACACCGTATATCCGATCTTGACGAAACTTTCCATAAATGTTAGGCACAATGAGCTACGAAAACGAAAAATTTTTTTGTCTCAAAGTCTTGGGGTTTAGGAGTTTTCCAGAGATCAAGGTCCAAAAAGAACCCTGAAGTGTTTGCCAAGACTCTTTAATATACTTCAAGTTGAAGAGTCCGAATTTGTTTTGTTTTAAGCTAGACACCTAACTACACTGACTGACGGGTGCCGATTTTTCAAGTAAGCCTTTGTTGGTTTTCCAGGCAACCAACAAACTCCAAAATCCCGAAAAATCCTTCTGAGTTTTCTAAAAATCCTCAATTTGACAAAAAACTAAGACCTAATTCAAAAATCGGCGACAGTCAGTGTATGTAGTTTATTTTCCTCTTTTAAACAGAAAAAGAACAAACTCCCTACGACAAACCGCTATTAAAAATTTTGGGAAACACTTCTGGTATAACTTCCATATAGAGAAAACGCAGTATTAAACGCTGTATAAAATGATCAGTTTCAGAACTTCTAGGAAAATGCCTGTAACTTTTTCAAACAGAGTTGTGCGAGGTCTCATTTCAATCAAAAACGTTTGCTCTACAAATCTGGTTGTTCATAAAAATTTTAATTGCAGAAGTATCCAGGAAAAAACTATTATTTGAAGACCCGGTTTTTCAAGGCACTTAGAAAACTTGCTGAAACCCGCGAAAAACCCTTTTTGTAACCAAAAGCGATACAGGCTTTGAAAGTCGACACTTCAGGCTATCTTTCCATGTGCGTATCTCAAAACCGATTTTTTGACCGAAAATCACCATTTCTGAGGAGGGGGGGGGGAAGACTCTTAAATAAATATTTCAAATTTTATTTTAGATAAAGCAAGTACATACAACACTTGAAGATTTATTAAAGACGTTGTCAGAAAATGTTGAAGAATACAAAAGACTTGACATAAATACAACAATCTTCACTACATATGACAAAGATAAAACAACGGATTATTCTCCCCATTCTTGGTGGATATATTTCATTGATGTTCTTGTACATATACCTTACGAAGAAAATTACTGTCTTAAACTTATTAATGAATTAAAATCTTATTATGCTGAAAATTCACCCGTTATTCCTATTTTAGAAGAATTTGAAAGCAATTATAAACCCGAAACAGCTGTTCATTGGTATACACGTAACACATTTTTGTATCGTGTACTAAATGAAGGTCTTCGTCAACATAATATTAAATTAATGTTTTTATTCGGATTCTATATACAAGATATGTATCAGCAATTGAAAGAAGAACATGAAAAATTTAAATTAGAGCACTTAAAAAATCCAATAACGACAGTCTATCGTGGACAGCTTATGTCACGTGATGAAATCAAAGTAATTGAAAGAGATTCTTACACCGTGAATAACAGCTTTTTTTCAACAACACTTAATCGTTCACTAGCATTAATGTTTCTTAATTCAATATCACAACCTAATGATGAACTACAAAATGTTTTATTTACAATTGATATTGACGTTCGCAATCAGAGAACTCTTGCATATGGAAATATTTCAAATTTAAGTCAGTTTCCTGAAGAATCTGAAATTTTATTTATGATTGGTACAGAATTTCAGAAAATCAAAGTTTCATACGATAAAAATGAAAATATTTGGATAATCAAATTAAAATTGGGATATAACAGTACCTTTAGAGTTGATGAATATCATGAGAGATTGATTAAGAGAAGAACTTTAAAAAATTCTGTTGGAACACCTACTCAAACTGACTCAAACTTCATCCGATTTTCATCTTTTCAGGATAAAAATCTATTATTTAATGAATTATTAATTTTATATCCATCAGAAAAATGGTTTTTAGCTATCAAATATTTTTGTCAAGCAAGATCTCAAGGTTATGAAACAGGAGCAGACAAACATGCAATATTATCGAATTGTGAAAAAGCATTGGAAATTTGGCATGAATATATAAATGATGATGAATTAAATTGTTATGTAGATATTGCACAGATTCACAGAGAAATTTTTTGGTTTCACATAAATAAAATAGAAGATTTAAATACCTATAAAAAACATTATGAGTTAGCTATTAATTATTATCAGTTAGCCATTGATAAAGCACTTACAGATTATGAAAAAGCAGTTATATATGTCGAATTGAGTTCTGTATATAAAATTTATTTTACCGATGATAAAAATGAAAGAGAAGACGTTCGTCTAATGGCTATTAAATACATGGAATTATGTCTTGAACTTACGTTAAAATATCGTTCATCAAATGATTTTATGATTGGTGATATTTTTCAAGAATTAGGTAGGCTTTATGAATCAATACAGAGATATGATGATGCATTGAATAACTATGACAAAGCTTTAGAAATTTATCTACAACAGGCTGAATCTTCTAATGGAGCTGAAATGTCAATAATTGCATGTATAGTTCCTATTTATACTAAATATAAAAATAATTATCAATTAGCACTTAAATACCAATTAATAAAACATGAATATAAACTGAAATTACTAGCAACAGAACCAACAATGGATGATGAGGGTGAAATTGATTTGAAAAAAAACCAAATAGCTGGTAGTCATCTTGAATTAGCTGATATTTACATCGAATTACAACAATATGATTTAACTTATGAACATTTAACAACAGCTATAAAATTATATAAAGAAACAAATCATCCTACTGACGAAGCTATTGTACTGTTTGAAAAATATGTTTCCTGTCGAAAAATAAGTTCCTAGATATAGACGCTGATGCTCAAAACAAAAAAGATGAAACAAAAGATTGTTTTAATTTAAGATTGAACTGAATAAATACCCAGTATAACACTTTATGTATTCGATAAAAATAGAATATGCTTTCTCTCTTAAACCAATGAAACAAATACAAATAAACTCTTCATGCTTTAGTTAAACACATAAATGTTCTTTCAGTTAAACAGTGATGCCTGCTTTTTGTGTGCTTTCAAGGTTGTAGACACATGGCTTACAATGCATTAGAGATTTTGATGAAGGATATTCAGTACAGTCGGACTGGCGCTGACAAAGAAAAGAACCATATAAAACCTACCATAATATACAAAAGTGTTGGCGCAAATAACGAGATCTACCTTATTTTGCAGAGCTTGATCAGCTGAATTTAATGGCGAACACCATCTAGCTTTGTTTGATCAAAAATTACAGCTAATTTATTCTACCACCGAAAACAGTGAATCTTTTGTGATTTTCCAGCTAGTGTAGTCTAACTTGTACAACGTTTTCTGATCGCATTCCCTAACGTGTGCAACCTTGAATTCTGTCTCAAATGAAAGAGTGCATCGAGTTCAATATATTCCTGTTAAAAACGATTGTGTGTGCATATTGGGTCTTGAGAAAAAGAGCTTTAGTTAACTGGTTTTCCAGAAAACCTAAAGCTTTTGGATTTCATTTTCACTGAGTCCATAAGACAGTCCGTTCAATTTTCAATAAAATAAGATGTCATCCGACTTCTAAGATTCATTCCGACACCCTAGGCGTCGATTCTTATATAAGCATCAGTTAAGAATCTTATAAGAAACTTATAAGTACCCAATAAGATTCACGTAAGAATCTTACCTGATTCTTATCAAATTCTTATATAAGATTACGCAGGAAAGTGAATGGAGTTTGATAAGAGTCTTATCAGAGTCTGATAAGAATGTCATAAGAATTTCATAAGAAAGTGATAAGAGGTCTTATGAACTTCTTATCACTTTCTTATGGAAGTCTGTTTTGTAAAGCGATCTGAAAAATGCTCTAGAAGTTAAACTACATTAGTAGTGCATCTGAATTGTGCAAAAAAAATTTGAAAAAAATCATCCGATCCGTCTAGGCTTCGAACCTAGGGCCTACAGCATGCCATGCCGTGCTGTTATCCACTGAGCTATTACGGACTGAGATAATAAAGATCATCTCACTATTACATTCTGATTAATCAGTTTTAGATTTTTGAATTCCTTTTCTGAGTGTATTGACAACTAAGACAGAGCACTCTCGAGAGCATAAAGACTTCAAAGTCATTATGAAACATGAATGTTTCATAGCCAAATATTGAGTTTCTTACTGTTTCGCTGAGTGAAACGGAATCGTTAAATTACTCGTTGTCCAGAATAATTTAAAATTAACTCTTCTGAAAAGTCTTGCAAGGACAAAGTATGTCAGAAACTTCTTATCAAAATTCGGTAGGAATAAGCATTTTGTAACACGTCTATAAAAAATAGATAAGAACTTCTTATCACTTTCTTATGAAATTCTTATGACATTCTTATCAGATTCTTATCAAACTCCATTCACTTTCCTGCGTAATCTTATATAAGAATTTGATAAGAATCAGGTACAATACATCATTGTTTAGTTTATAAAACTAGTTGCTGGCCATCCAAAACCTTTTTAAACACCTATTCATAGAGAGAAAAGTGTTCTTTTCAAAATGAGACGTGGCTGAGCTCTGTGCGATATCCCTATCGAAAGTCATAAGCATTTTTCTAAGAACACCTAAAACTCTGCTTTTCTCCTTTCTTTTGTTCCTCTACATCGATTTTGGATACAACAACATTTCCGCGAACGACATTTGCCCGAATACCGCGAACGACATTTCCGCGAATTTTTCAGTATTCGCGGAAATGTCGACGCATCTTTTCACACTGTCCACACCCCCACCTCTCACCACACACTTCAAGAAATACCCAAATGTGTGCTATGATTCACTCGCAAACAGACGAAACGCGCTCGTATGTCATCCCTGATTTAAATAAGTTCTCTAACAGTGTAGAGGGTTAAAGGACGACCGCACCCTCTCAAAGATTCTGTGCCTTTGGCGGCGGCGGCTATCCTAGAGAACGTACTTGCTGCAAGTACTTGATTACTTGCTAAGTACTTGTCAGTGATCGAAATACTTGCCTTATTGCTAAGAAGTACTCACTGAAAGTACTTGGCAAGTAAGGACTAGCACTTACAAGTAAATTTGCTTCTGGAAAAAAAGGCAAATACCGGCTTCGTTACGCAGACGAAGTACTTGGTCCAAATACATTCTCTAGAGTAAAAGATTTTTTTTAATTTAAGTTAAATTAAGATTAATTAGAATTCTCATCTTATAAAGATAATGCCTATGTAGATATAGATGGCAGAGGGGTATAGGACCAGTAGTTTTTTCCCATTTACCAATGAGCCATATTCACAACCTGAAGAGAGACCGATCTCTTGCCGTCAAAACGGTTATAAGCTGACCGTATAGAAATAATGTCTATGATGATGAATATGCGCTCGTATATGACGGTTGGACGTTATGAAATGTTGAAATGTATGAAATGACGAAAAGCTCAGTTTCTTATACTTTACACAGATACCTTTTATCTTACACCATACACGGATATTCTGACAGCTCTGGGAAAATGCACTTTTACGTTAACTTATAGTCCAGCAAAGACAAAGAAAATTTTACTTACTTTAACTATATTCACATTTGTAAATACATTATTTAAAATATGTAATTCATCTCTTAATGTCAGAGCATCAATTACGTAATCAGCTGTACGTGATGATATTTGAACCAGACACGTAAAACCATAATACGATCGATGTTGATGAGCTTCTAAATCGACTGCTATTTCCGATTGTAATTGAATATGATCGACCATATTTTTTAATTTTTCTCCTGCATCAACATATTCATATTTTGTGTCTTGCAGTGATTTTGGTGTCTAAAAAGGAAAAAAATACAAAAAAATTTTAAGTCATACAAAAATTCGCTCTGTTTTACCTGTTCTTCACATAATTCGAATTGTTGCGGTGGTACTTTAAACGATTCTAGCTCATAATAATACGCATTTTTCAATCTGGAAAAAAAGTTCAATGAATTTTCATAACGCATATCAAAGAAACAAAATTTTTCTTACAAATCCGAGTATTTTTTCTTTATTTCATTCAATGAAATTTGTCCACACTGAATTTGTTCGATGATTTCTGTAGATGTAAACAAATCTAAAAGTAAACGACAGGTACACAAAAAGAATGTTCATTTCCTTGTGAAGATATTGAGGAGATTTTCATATATACCTGATAATGGTACCATGGCATTTGGTTTAACTTTAATACTTGGTAAAAACGGTATTGCTGGATCATTATTTATTTTTTGTGTAAAATTCAACTGTGATTTAATAATATCCTTCTTTTTGTATTCATCACAGGCACGGAATGCGAGAAAATGAGAACGTTTTCTATGCATCTATAATAAGCACAAAAAGTTTCTGAAAGAGAGCAATAACTTTATCAAAGCAAATTCGAATTTTAAGCGACAGAAGATAACAGAACCAACTTTTAAATCCGGTTCAGGTTCGTAAAAAGTCGTTTTCTGCCCCATTCTATCCTCTTTTAAGGATGCTACTGAAAACCAAAGAAAATTTTTCAAACTGCTACCGGTATACTGGCTTAGTACGAAGTTTAATAAGTCCATTCATATTCTAATATTTTGCAGTACGATAGGATTTTTCAAAAAAAAATCGTGTAAATTCAGTTCATTTATGATATATTTCTTCCACTAAATTTTCATTCTCATTACTTAATCTTTCTCGGCCTATATAAACTTCTTAATTTAGGAAATTGAACTGAATTGTTTCGTTAAAAAAATTGCGTGTGAAAAATCAGCTATGCATAATCAAAGTAAAAAGATTAATCCCTTCTTTTGATTACATAATTAATTAGTCAAAAGAAGAGTAGTCGGTGCTTTTCGCTGTATATTAACAGACTTCATCACATATATGAAACATGGTTTTAAATTGCAGAATCCATGCTTCGCTACATGTATTTGAATAATAAATTTGCTTTTTTTACATGCTACAAGTATCACATAAAAAAAGCAAATTTATTCTGTATATATTTCTATCGTTAATTAATAGAATATTAATTTAGGCTTTAGTATAACTGCTTCACATTCTGAATAACTGTAAATAATAAAGCTCACAGTAAAGAAAAACAAGTAAAAAGTATTTGTATTTAGGCAAATAAGCCGGTACCGACCGGTAAACCGGTCACGGATATACGCGCCGGTACCGGCACGAAGTTTGTATACTGGTGGCTGGTCCCGGTATCGCATTTTTGATACCAGTTACATCCCTGAAGCGAGACAGATAAGGTCATTTTCAGATGGTAGAGTGAAAAATTCATTTTACTTTGAGATCATCAATCATAATAATTAGAAAACAAGCTACGTACTTTGTAAAAATGCATTGCCGAACAGGAAAAAGTATGTATCCGATCCGAAATTTACTCTATTTATTGTATTGTATTTTGAATTTTTACAACTACTTGTAGTACCAAAAACCATGAAATCTTTCAATTAGTTCATGTGATTTTCTTACTGCACTCAAACGAAATACGATTACAGTGTGATATTTTGTAAAATATAGACAGCTTTTTATGCTCTTTGGAATGAATGGCACTAGTTTTAGAATATAAAATGGGGACTTTTTTTTTGAAAATCATGTTGTTTTTGAATTTTGGCTCTTGCACAAGTTCAATATAATCGCCATAAATTTAAGCTATATTTTGTTTTTATATTATTTCCGCCATCATACTAGCTGAAACAAAAGCTTTTTAACCCACATGTAGTCTGATAGTGTAGCTACATGGGCAGAAAAAATGACTCAATTCATTGACAGCGGATGACATGCGATTAAAATTAATTTTTGGTCAACGATCATAAATTTAAGGCGATATGCTGAAAGATGTTATTCTACAATCCTATGTAGAAAGAGTGTTAAGGAAGAAGAAACTGGATTCAACCAGTCTTAGCAGGCACCCTAGAGTTGAGAATTGTTCTCTCTATAAGAATCAATTTAGTTCAGAATTTTAAACAAGAAGTTTAATATCGAAACGTTTGGAAAGCTAAAACCAGCGGTTTTTTTAAATTGTAAAATCTCGTTTAATATCCTATTTAAATCAAGTTTAAAAAATTTTTGAGTAACCGCTTTGTTCAGTTTTTCAAACTCATTTGGATATTATATTTGAAAATAGTTTTTTAAATTTTAGTTGTAAAAAATTAAGGTTTAACATTTTGGACCCTTATCGCTTAAACTTAAATTTTAAAATCAAAAATTGCAACTTTTGAAATTCTTTTTTATTAAAAATTTTATGGATGCTTTTATTGCCCAGTAATATGAATAGGCTTTATGGATATAGATGACTTTGATCCAAACACACTGTAAAAAAAAAAGTAAAGGCAAAGACATAAAAAGTCACAGTGAAAACGTGGCATCATGAAAACTAATGTCACGTTTTAACTGTGACTTTATATATATTTTGTTAACGTTTTTTCTGTGGCAGTGTCACATCCGGATGACATCTAAAACAGATTTTTCGTGACATCACTTTTCATTAGTTAAAATAGACCAGTGGGGTGAAAGTAATGTAATATTTTTCCCGTTACATGCCACTGCGAACTTGAAATCAGAAATTGCTATCAGAGCATGAACTCTTCTATTGCTATGTTGCTCTCCGCTACTGTATGAGTGAAAGAGAAAAAAGAAAGAAAAAAATATGCTCCTGCTTTAAATCTTTATGTCACATATGGTTCAGTGTTAATAGTCGTTCAAGTGGCACATTTTCACAAATAAAACCTTGGTGTTGCTCGTTATAGAATTTCAGAGACATTTTTGTTTAAAAGTGATGATATAGGGTAAATGAATTTCTGACCATTTGTAACTTCAAGACAGTATATCAGAAATTTGCATAATACATATCTATATATATATATATACATATACAAACAACGATTAGTTATCACCAGAGATTTCAACACTATCCGCAAGAACAACTAAGGGTATCCAGAGAGTGCAGAACACCTTACATTATAACCAAATGTTCACAATAATACCACACTGTAAGTTTTATTATCCGTACACGACTTGTTTTCGGTTTTTTTGAGTATACGTGCGTGGATATTTTTTTTTGAACGTGGACGTCACGTATCGTCCTTCGTACATAACAAACAGAAACTGTTACTAGACGTGTTTCTGACTGCTATTAGCGGAGATAAAGAGTGATACGAGAACAAGTGCCTTAGTTTAAGACTCCTTGAACTCAACTTCAAACTACTTTAACTTTAAAACTTTTTTTAACTTTAAAAAAAAACTCATCCAAATGGATGAGAAACCGACATCAAGGATTTGGCAGACGACATGGAGCGTCTTGGTGGAAACTAGTTGGGCCTAGAGCACATACTAAACTATTTTTATTTGTGTGTGTGTGTGTCTTTCTGCTTTTTAAGTTTTTCCTTTACTATTTTTTATTTTTTTCTTTTATTTTTTCGTGTGCGTTTTAGATCAAAATAACTGCCTGATGAGTTTTATTTTTAAATAAAACGAAACGCGTCGCAATAAACAAAAATTTTATTTTCTATGGCACCACAAACAATATTATAAACAAGCATATATATATAATTATATATAAAATACAAAAAATAGTTGAAGCGTTTTTTGTACAAAAAACATTCAACCGTATAAATTAAAGTTTTAAGCTGGGTTCAAGGAGTCTTAAGCCAAGGCACTTGTTCTCGTATCACTCTCTATCTCTGCTAATAGCAGTCAGAAACGCGTCTAGTAACAGTTCCTGTTTGTTATTCACCAAGTATGACAATCTAAGTTCAGATAGCTAAGGACAAACTCAAAAATATAGCGCATTGTTGGTGATGAAATACTCAAGAGTTTGACAAAACTAGAGGAAGAGGACTAAAAATGTTTTGCTCACTCACCAGTGGCATTCTATTGGTGATAGCCATAAAGAATATTTTTCGCTCATAACAAATATACCGGACAGTCGGCATAGATATGCGTGAAGTTCTTGTGAAGAAATACCCAGCTGTCTAGGAGAAAATATGAGGTTCTTATGAAGAAACACCAAGTTGTTTAGGAGTTAAGTTAACTCCTGAACAACTCGGCGTTCCTTGACAAGAGCTACATCTTTTCCTGTAGACAACCCAGTGTTTCTTCACAAGCATCTCAAACTTTCTCCGGGACAACTCGGTGTTTCTTGGCAAGAATTTCATATGTTCTCCTAGACCAGTCGGTGTTTGTTGACAAGAACTTCACGTTTCCTGCTGGACAACTGGGCGTTTCTTCACAAAGCCTACATCTTGTCGTCGAGACAACCGATTGTTTCTTCGCAAGCATCCCAATCTCCCTCCAGGACAACTAGGGGTTTCTTCACAATAACTTCACGTTTCATCCCGGACGACTCGTCGTTTCTTCACAAGAGCTACATATTTTCTTCTAGACAACTCAGTGTTTCTTCAGAACCATGTCCATCTCTCTGCACCACAACTCCATGTTAACAAACAGAAACTGTTACTAAACGCGCGAACTTAATATTTTGCGAATTTAATATTTTCTCCTAGACAGCTCGGTATTTCTTCACAAGAACTTCACGTTTCCTACTAGACAACTCGGCGTTTCTTCAAATGAACTATATCTCTTCTTTCAGAGAATCGAGTGTTTCTTCACAAGAAGTTAATATTTTCTAGTAGACAACCCGGTGCTTCATCACAACATCTTCATTTTTTCTTGTAAACAACCCAGTGTTTCTTCACAAGCATCTCAATCTCTCTGCAGGACAAGTCGATGTTTCTTAACAAGAACTTTGTATTTTCTCATAGGCAGCTCGATGTTTCTTCATAATAACTTCACGCTTCAGCCCGGACGTCGTTTCTTCACAAGTGTTACATCTTTTCTTCTAGACAATCCAGTGTTTCTTCGCGAGTATCTCAATCTCCCTCCACCACAAGTCGATTTTTCTACACAAGAACTTTTCTCCTAAAGCACCCGGTGTTTCTTGTTAAGAACGTTTCCTGGTAGACAACTCGGCGTTTCTTCACAAGAGGTACACCGTCTCTTCTAAACAACTGACTGTTTCTTCACAAGAAGTCAATATTTTCTCGTGGACAACCCGGTACTTCAGCACAAGAAGTTCGTCTTTTCTTCTGGAAAACTTGGTGTTTCTCCACAAGAGCTACATGTTTGGTTCTAGACAACTCGGTGTTTCTTCACAAGAACTTGGCGTTTCTCCGTAAGAGCTATATCTTTTCTTCTAGACAACCCAGTGTTTCTTCACAGGCATCTCAATCTCTCTCCAGGACAACTCGATGTTTCTTCGCAAGAAGTTCATATTTTCTGCTAGACATCTCGGTATTTCTTCACAAGAACTTCACGCTTCATCCTGGACAACACATCTTTTCTGCTGACAACCTAGTGTTCCTTCTCAAAGGAACAATGGGTTGTTTAGAGGAAAAGATGTAGGTCATGTGGGGAAACAGTGGGTTTTCCAGGAGAAAACGTGAAGCTGTTGTGAAGAAACACGGACTTGTCTAGGAGAACATATGAAATTCTTGCCAAGACACGCCGAGTTGTTCAGGAGAAACCGTGAAGTTATTGTGAAGAAAGACGCGGTTGTCTAGAAGAAAGGGTGTAGCTGTAGTGGAGAAACGTCGAGTTTTGGAGAAGAAAGGATGAAGTTCTTGTGAAGAAACACCGAGTTGTCTAGAAGAAAGCATTTAGCTCTTGTGAAGGAGGAGTGTGTTTTCCAGGAGAAACACCGAGTTGTTTAGGGGAAAATATGAAGGTCTTGTGGAGAAACACCGATTTTATCAGAAGAAAAGATGAAGTTAAAGCATTTTTGTAAAACAAATTTTGTGAAATCTCCAATTTCTTTGCTGTTTGCTTGTTTCTCTTTGCCTCACATAAAACTTGCATTAATTTTTTAATGAGTGCTACGAACACCCAAGCAGACAAACATTTGGAAAAACGCGTTTAAACGCTCAAAAGGGAACAGCGATTGTGAGCCAGTAACGCTCATTAAAAAAACGCAAGAAACGCGTTTTTTGCGCAAAATTTTCACTTTCAGACCGTGAAAACGGCGAAAACCGTGAAACGGCGTTTTTGAGCGTTAAAACTCATTGTTTATAAATTCTGGAATAAAAGCGCGTTTTAACGCTCAACAACGGTAGTTTTCGCCGTTTTCACGGTCTGAAAGTGAAAATTTTACGCAAAAAACGCGTTTCTTGCGTTGTTTTAATGAGCGTTACTGACTCACAATCGCGGTTCCCTTTTGAGCGTTTAAACGCGTTTTTCCAAATGTTTGTCTGATTGGGCAGATGAAAGGAAAGAAGAAAGAAATATGAAATGAATGAAAGTGAATATTTCGCCTTAGCATTTTGTTTTGTAAGAACATATGTGACGCTATATATCAAACGTATTAATGAAAGAAAACTATAACAGCTAGACACAAGACAAAAAGAACGAAGAAATATAACATTATTCTTTCATCTCGTCTCTAGTTTGTATCAAAACTAATAACATATTTGGAATCAGCGTCGAAAACTGAGCCGACCTGTATGTGTTTAAAATATTTCACAGAAATCATGTCTCGAGAATAGTGTGCTTGGGATTGCGTAAGTGGCCAGTATTTTCGGAGTTTGAAAAATATGCGGTTTTGTAGCCCATTTCAAGGGCTATCGATTGGAATATTGGGATCAACATGTTCTGTGTTTTGTGGGTGGGTCCCTAGCGTTCGAATAAACACTAGAGAGAACAAATTATTAGTAAAACCACGACTTGCCGCCATCGAAGTGAAGAGAAAAATATATCGATTAATTCATTCCGTAGACTTGTTCTTATAGAAACACGTATATACGGCGCTTTCTTTTTGTTGTTTAATGAACGAAACAGAATACTAGACTAAAAACCCTGACATTTGTATTTATACCATGGTTGCTTCCAGTTTTTACCAACAAAAATTACTTCCTTCTCTTTTTCTCGATTTTGTCGTTGAATAACCAAACGAAATTTCTCGATAAACTTCAGTTTTGTGAAAAATCCATTCAATAACTGCCTTTTTTTATGCAATGGAAGTAGAACAAAACAATAAAAAAGCATTGGAAATTTCACTTGCTGTGAAAATAGAATACTATAAAAGAAAAACCCGTTTTCCTTGTCAATGTAATTCAATATGTAATTATGATCCAAAAATATTTTTGTCGTTGATGATATCCCGTTTTTATTTATATATCTATATATGCGATTCACTGATAAAAAATAATTTAAGACTATAAGGATATATAACTAATATAAAAATTTTTTTTTTAAAATTATTAAAATTCTAATCAATATAAAAAACACTGGACTAGTTTCGATCTTCTAAAGATACTCTTCAGTTTGTGTTATTAAAATAAAAATGTAAAAGAAGTGAAGAAAATTCGATACATATAAATGTGCATGTGGGAGTGGGAAAAGATAAAAAATATAAACCATTGTTCATTTGACTGGGCCTGATCGTCACTGCTGTATATTACAGTACCGCATGGTCGTGAGGAGGCAACAATATATATACATTTGTCACTGTCCTTCTATATTGGACTACCATTTATTTTTAAGAAGAAAAACGGGAAGAAGGAGAATAATTCTAATGATATTCCTTCTTATCTATTGTAATGACAATGTCTTGAAGCTTAAATTACTTTTTCTGCCAGTTTGAGTCGAATTTTAAATTAGCCTCAAGAATAAGTTTCAATGGCTTGTTTCAAAATTACTTTTAATTGTCTTGATAATAAGTAATTAAACAAAATAAAATTTTTAGAAAAACAACGATCAGGGTTAAAATATCTTGAGTAATTTGCAAGGATATTAATAATTACTGAAGTAGAAGAAGAAGAAGAATGTAAGCCCGCTATAAAATATTAAAAATGCCAGAATAAAATACTAAAAAAAGTTTTTCAGAATAAAATAATTTGTTCTGCTATGTTTTTGATGGAAAAAATACTTATAGAAGGTGATGTGTAATGAGATTCAAAAAAAAAACATGTAATGTTGTCAAACCCAATATTTCTTCCTCAATATATCAAATGTGAAAAATATGGAAGTTCTATCGAACAATAGTTGAAAATACCAAGTGTATATTGATGATAGTAATACTAACTTCAAAACACGAACCGAGATTAAATCAATTCATTCCGATATGAAATTAACCAAAAATATAATGAAATTCATATTTGAATGTGTTTAATATTGTCAAACGAGATTGTCTAATGATGGCTTTGTGTTGATAAGCATTTTTTGTATATTATCTGTATTTTTTGTGCCAATTATTGGTTTAATATGTGAAATATGAGTGTCACCGAAATGTTCTTTCCATATTCGATGAAAGTCCTGGTTAAACTTAGCCATATTGTTAGTATATGAAAAATGAAAAAATATTTTATTGCTATAGTCGGTATTTTTATTGTTGCTTCTCCTTGTATTTTGGAGGAGTTTTTGTTGAATTATGTTAAAATTATTACTGTCTGTTTGATTCATATTATATGTTGCTAAAATTTTGCTATATTGTTGTTTAATAAATTCTAATGGGTATCCATTTAATAATAATGATATTTCAATATGTGTTCTTTCTTCATTGAGTATTGATAATGATGATGAATATCTAAATGCGCGTATAAAAGAAATGTGTGGAATATTCTGTTTAATATGTAGTGGATGTCCTGATGAATATGTAAAAAATATAGTTCGTGCGATGGTTTATCATATACGCCTGTCTCTAAGGTACCATTGTTGTTTCTAATGTCAATGTCTAAGTAATTCACATGTTTTGATATTGTATATGTTAATTTAATTGCTGGATCATTTAAATTATACCTATCTAAATTATTCTTAAAATCTTCTTCTGTATCATTAGATGTTAAAAATGAATTATCGATAAAACGAAAATATAACTCATTTTGTGACTGTTGATATTCGACTAAATCTTTTTCCCAATATTTCATGTAAATATTTGCTAATGATAATGTTAATGATGATCCCATTGCGCCTCCTTTAATTTGATGGTAGTAATTATTGTCATAGTAAAAGTAGTTATTTTTCAAAACCAGATTAATCAATCCGTCTAATGCTGTTAATTGGTCTCCTTGCAAGAATCTTCTCAAATAAAATATTGTTCGGCTTTGATTTAGCATAGTATATAAATCGATGATGTCGAAAGTGATAAATAATGTCTTCGGTGTAAATCGTGCAGATCGTGAATATGATTTTAATTGTTGTACTACATATATTCCACTTTCAATTGATGTTGGTGTTGATTGCTTAAATAATGGTGTAAGTAAATTATCTAAAAACTGTGACAATGGTGCAGTTGGTGAACTGATAGAGGCACAAATTGGGCGTAACGGTGTTCCTTGTTTGTGGGCTTTCGGTAGATAATAAAGATGTGCTAATTGGCATTTTCTACGCACTGACAATAGTTTCTCGTACTGTTTAGTGGTAATGTATTTATTTGTTAACCGTGTTTGTAAAAAATGGGTAATTTGGTTGATAATATCGTATAATGGGTTATGATCGACATGATAGAGTGACGATCAGGCCCAGTCAAATGAAGAATAGTTTATATTTTTTATCTTTTCCCACTCCCACATGCACATTTATATGTATCGAATTTTCTTCACTTCTTTTACATTTTTATTTTAATAACACAAACTGAAGAGTATCTTTAGAAGATCGAAACTAGTCCAGTGTTTTTTATATTGATTAGAATTTTAATAATTTTAAAAAAAAAATTTTTATATTAGTTATATATCCTTATAGTCTTAAATTATTTTTTATCAGTGAATCGCATATATAGATATATAAATAAAAACGGGATATCATAATTACATATTGAATTACATTGACAAGGAAAACGGGTTTTTCTTTTATCGTTCTTAATAAACTTCAGTTTTGTGAAAAATTCATTCAATAACTGCCTTTTTTTATGCAATGGAAGTAGAACAAAACAATAAAAAAGCATTGGAAATTTCACTTGCTGTGAAAATAGAATACACCGATGTAACTGAGAAAGAAATGACTTTTTCTGGAACACGGATTCTATTTTAACACGTCATTCGTTGCTGTAGAGTAGGTTTCTGTGGTGTACAATTCTCTTTCTTTTTTCTTTTCATTTTTTTATCTAAGCTTTTGTCAGAAACATTTAAAAAGAAAGTAGATTTAGTGGAAAATATAAAACCATACATGAGCAATGGTGTCATTTGGTACATTATCGAATGATGTTGATGATAAATCAGAACTTGGCTTTGGCATCATTCTCAGTCTTGATCAGCACGCTGAAATGCATATAAAGTGTGAAGGGTTTTTCTATGGTAATAAAAAAGCACATTGCATTAAAAAATTTTGAGGTAAACAATAGCGATATCCGAGCAAAGAGATGGCTAATGAAAAAACACAATCCATGTTATGCAATAAGCCGAGAAAAGTTCAGATAGAAGAGTTTACAATCAGTAGGATGTAGAGGGAGCAGACCGCTTTTCCTTTGACCAAAATAGATACAACAGTGAATATTAACAAACATGACTAGGTGAACGTGCCGTAAGTACAACGGATTATCGTTTACGTGCTATGTGCAGGCCAGATTCGTATCTGTCTTTTCTTTAACAACATTTTCTTCACATTTTGTCGATAGGTTGACGACGATAGGTAATAAACATAGAAGCTACTACAGAAAACCGTAGTGCTGATAACATAGGTCACTGCTGTAAACAGGCCTTCAATTGCTAAACTCATATCACTTTTCACGTAGTTCACTGTTACTGCTGAATAAATAGATTTTACACACGGGGGAATAGTAGCAACACAGAAGCATAGGATTTGTAAGATTAACATTGTCGAAAGTTGTCCGTCGATACGTTGTTTGGTGATGACCGTTTTCTTCTCCTTTTCGATCGTCGAAACAGCGAATGCAGCTGCAGTAGTGTTCGAAGCGTCTATTATCGTCGCAGTTGGGTTAACATGTCGAAGACTTTTCACATTTCGATAGGTGAGCACACCGAATACTGTCAGGAGAATAATGGGCACAAATGTGGAAACAACAAAACCAAGGAAGTACGTAAGATACAAATAGTAGACTGGGGAGACAACGATGCACACTGTTTGACCAAAACTACTGTCGATGTACCAGTAGAGTAAGTCAGGAACTGGTATCAGCAGAGATACAACGATTGTAGTTAAAATCGAAATTTTTGCCACCTTCATTGAACTCCATTGTCGCCGTAATGCAGTACGTGACGTTAAATGGTAACGATCGATGGCTGCAAGACATAGTGTTATAATCGAGAGGGTAGTACAAACATCACCGAGATAATTCATTAACTTGCACCACCACAGATAAGTTTCGGTACCATTTTTACCACTAACGAAATCAACAACACTCGGTAGAAGAAATAATAAAATAGCAGAACAGTTAGTGATCTCTGTTGTCAAGAGGTACAAAGAACATGGATTACTACGGTAATTTTTCGATGAAAATAGTAAAATATTGATAGAGTTGCCAGAGAGACCGGTAATAATTATGCAGAGATAACCGTAGAGATAGACTCGAGTAGAGGCGAAATTTATTGTATCTTCAGCTGAGGACGACGACGACATGTTTGAAAACAGAAACTGATGTAACTTGCTTTTCTTCTTAGTTTTTTTAATATAATAGTGATAGAAAAACCCCTATTGCGTTTGAGAAAAGAAAAATTACATCAATGAAACTGCTTTTAAGATTGATGTATTATGAGTAGAGCACGTTTTTCTAATTTATGCTTTTCCAAAGTGCAGTTTAATACTAATCCCTTCTAGTCACACTATGCCTTAAAGAAAAAATGTTTTTCCATCTCTATTAAATATACACTTTTGAAGAACTGCGATCAAGGAAAATCATTTACACTCAGTCAGACATCAACCTTTTCATTCATTTCTCACTTCTGTGGATTTCTATTCTGAGATTTTCACACAATTAACATGTTTAATTGAGTCTGTACATCAGAAAACTGCTGAGATTAGTGCATTCTGGAAGAAAGAACACTGCCTTTTGATACTCAGAATGACCGACGAAATAAATTTCGAATTTTAAGTTTTTCTTTATATATATATCTATTTATATTTATTTTTATTTCTAATTTTTCTTTTTGAGTTTCACTACTGTTTACTCATTTGCACGAATTCAATCTTTGAAATGATACAGACAGCAGGAAAAAGAATTCTTTGCCTTTCTTGCGATCCCAAAAAATCATCAACGGTTTGATAAGTATGTCTGTTATAGTTCCGGTTTTAGGTCAAAATCAATCTAACCCTTTTAATTTCCACAGTTTTATGGCTTAAAACAGCTTCATTGCTGTTTTGTTTCGAAAATCTCTTTATTTCGGCAGCCGTTTTGTCGTGTTTAGATAGATTTTGATCTGACCGCTACCCTTTTTCAAAATTTCTGCTAGCCGTCAATTGACGGCTATTTTGGACGGCTAGCCGGAAACAACCATTTTCCATTACGTTTCTCATGCAGAAAATCCTCCTTTATATCACAAGAAGTGTGCTCATTTCCTTTTATGTAACTCTACACTTATTATGGTACAGTACGCTGGGAAATAGTATTGCATATAACAGGCACTGATAACATATCTAAAGTAGAAATTCTTAAGAGAAAGGAAAAAAACGAGTGTCGTTATACTTTCTCATTGAAATGGTACAAACCAATGAGAAAAGATGCTAATTTAGCGACAGACGTAGTCAACCTTTCAATTGCAGACCGATTTCTCTATTTTGATTGATCGATTTTTCTACGAACTAGATTTCAGAAAATTGATCAATCAAATTTGTCCTTCTCCTTTTTTATATTTTTGACGGGAAAATTGGCGGCTGGCGAAAAAGAACCATTCAATCTTAATATTTGCAGTTCACGAAATAGATTATGGCGATCTTGCCAGGGCGCAGATAACGGGAGGGTGCGCATCCGCTGAATAACTGAAAAAGCTGTTGTTATTTTATCCGTTATTCCTCGCACAAAAACCTTTTTTATCAATTTCACACTATCTCAAAGAGAAATTTTCTTTTACAGCCCCCTAATGTTCTGCTCCTATTTGCGGCTCTGGATGTTGCACGTCTAAATAGAATAGTTTTCATTCTTTTCTGCTTGTATTCTGAAAGAATAAAACTTATATCAGTTGTATGAACATTGACTTTATGTACAGGCAAATACATCCTAAATAGATAAAAGGAAGAAAGAAACACGTGAATGTCTGTTTTGCACGAAGTCTATATTTCGCTAATACTTTTATATTTTATTATATAGCCTAAATGGATCTATCTGACCTAAAAACTCTATTTGTTTAGTTTTTTCACTATAAAAAGATTAATATGGCAGAGCCTGCCATACAAGCCTGCACATTCAGTTCCAGCAGACAAAATTATCACGAGCAGACCTGTGCAGGTCTGCAAGGAACATCGTGCAAGAGCGGCAGAAGACACTGTCACGTACCTCTGCAATGAATGAATTGGGAACAAGTGATTGCAAGATTTTTAGATATTCCCGTAGAACGGCTCTTGATAAATTACAATAGTCTTAACGAGAAAGTGCAAGTTTTTGAAGAAATTTTACTTGAGCATATTAAAACCTACGTTCCAAGTAAGGAAATAATGATAGAATTACGAGATAAAGCCTGGTTTAACGATGAATTAAGAGTCCTTTACAAAAAGAAATTAAAATTGTATCGTAAAAGAAACAATTCAACATATCATCTACAGCTATATCATGAAAAAGCGAAAAAGTTTAAAGAAGCATGTGAATATGCTAAAGAAAATTATTTTAAAAGAATTAATGACAAAGTCTGTGCTTCTTCGAAGAATTGATGTAGATTAATTAAATATAAACTAGGTAGAGAAAGGTCTACTACAATACCAGCTTTGTTAGATAATAGGGATCAAGTTGTGGTTGAAACAGGAAAAAAAATTGAAATCTTGAACTGTTACTTTGCAGATGTTTGCACATGGAAAGGACCAGGAGCTGATCCGCATATAGCAGACACCCTGCCAGAATCTACTATTTTGATTCATAAAGGACGGGAAACGGTTTCTGCTAGAAAATCGCCCAATATGATTTTGAGTGGGAATGATCTGAAATGCATCCCTTTTCACTTCCAAACACTTCCCATTTTCAAAAAATCCTTCTGGTGTCTTTGAAAAAAAATTACGTTTCAGTTTTCGCCACAAGTTCAACAAAAGCCATTTACGTTTTTCCGCAAATTTCTCGTCCGATTTCAAAGTCCTTGAGCAAAGCGCATACATAGTAAAATAGAGAATTTTCTGGGCTTCAAAATAAGCTACAAATAAGTCTTTCGAAAATATGCCCACATGGGTCAATAGTCGAAATACTTGGCAGATACACAGGCCGCCGCTATGTCACTGGAACTGATTCGATTTAAAGAAAGCCCTAAGGGCGTATGTTTGCGGTACGGGAGCTTCCGTAAATCAAATGCTGTTTCATGAAAACGTACCGCACAGAGCTCGGAGACGTTTCGTTTTCTTCAGAATGGTTTGCTCTATACGGTGGAGTTACTTGCAAAGAATTTCTCGATTGAACTCAGGGACTTGGTTTTTTGAGATGTGGGTTTTCCAGAGACCCTGATTTCAGAAGTTTTGATAGAATCTTTCAGTACACCACGTCATATCAAAAATTCTTTCAGCCGTTTAAATCTTTTTTCAAATTTGTTATAGCTATTATGGTTGACGAGAAAAATGAAAATAAAGGTGGACGAATAATTTTCGACCCACTGTAGGTTTAAGTGGCGAAGTATTTAATACACAAAAGTCACTGGCAAGCTTTGTTAAGTTTCCTATGAACACAACCTGTAGAACTTTGCAAAGTGCATCGAATGATATATGAATGGTTACGGACCATCGTTAGTTTCATAGGAAAAAGTGACCGGCAGTTCCAGTGACATAGCGGCGGCCTGTGTATCGGCCAAGTATTTCGACTATTGACCCATGTGGGCATATTTTCGAAAGACTTATTTGTAGCTTATTTTGAAGCCCAGAAAATTCTCTATTTTACTATGTATGCGCTTTGCTCAAGGACTTTGAAATCGGA